CTACCTCCGAGTCGGGAACGAATGCGTGCTTCAGGAAGAGATCCGTGAGGGTTTGCAACAGCGTCGCATATTCCGGCTGCTTAGCGTCCGCTCTCCACCCCCGGATGGTCTTTGTGAACTTCGCCCCGCCGGTCGGCTCCTTCTCCTCCCTCTTTCGCTTCTGCGCGTCCGGCTCCATGTCGAATGAGAGTATCTCTATCCGATCCGTCCGTCTTAAGTAGGGTCCGAACTGGAGCGACCACGTGGCCGAGCTTGACCGCTCGGACGGATGACGTGGCGAAGGCGAAGGCACCGTGCGGCGTGCTGATCCTGATCTCGTCCCTCGCGGTCCTGCCGAATCGACGACGGTCCACCGGCTCGATGAACAAGGACCCGAAACCGTCCATCGACCGCCCTAAGTGGAGACCTCAGCCGAGAGCGGCCCTAAACCGTGCATCGAATGAATCTTCTAGAAATAAGTACTTGGTGATGAGACCCGTCCTCGTCTTCGATTGTTGACTGAAAGGAGTCGAAGAAAGACCCCTTGTACAGATGACTCAGAATCCTTCTCCGACGCGCAGGACAGAATTGATGCTCGTGAAGCCGGTCAAGGTGCGCGCACATAACGTAAGCACGTCGTTGTCCCTAAAGTCGAACTCTACCTGGTCCTTGTCGTTCAGCATGCGCCCCGCCTGGAGCATCTCCACGTAGATCACGATCCCTCCCGACACGGCGGTCGCACTCGTGTTGCACTGCAGAGCGCTCTCGGTGGTTGGCTGATCCTGTAGATCCGTCCAGGTGCCGCCGGTAACGGTCGTCGCAACGCGGACCTGGATCAGACAGTCGGTGGTGGAGAGGACGTCGATGCCCTTTAGGCGTACGGGGCAGTGGAGGTAATTGCTCTTGCGGCGCAGGCTGATGATGGGTAAGAAGGTCGTGGAGACCCCTCCGCGGTTGAGAACGTACGCCGCGTTGTTGCGCTTGTGAGGCAGCCAGTGTCCGATCATGGAATACTGACGACCGGCGATGTACAACGTGCGGCTCGTGGCGGTCGTGCCGTTGGTGGCGTAGATAGACAGCGGCAGGTTGGGGTACATAGAGTAGGTCTGCGTGCCGGGGACCATGCGGTGCATGTGCTGCAGATACTGCACGCCTGCAGAAGTGACCGGGCAAGAAGCAAAGACCAACGCCCCGTAGCCGTAGCAGCCATAGATGATCTTAAACATGCACCCGGTGGTCATACCGAAGACCAGCCCGCTCGGGCCGGTCCCGTCCATCTTGTCCACGTTGAAGTTTGCCTGATTGGTCCTGGTCTCCACGCCGTTGCGCATCGTGCACGCGTTCAGGCCGGTCGAGTCGACGAGGAAGTAAAAGCCGTTGGTGCCATCATAGTAGCCGACCTTGAGATACTGCCCCGCCCCCCAGGCGGCGGCACCGACGACGGAGCGCAGGATAAGGCATACCTCGAACGTGTACCCCGCTACGAAGCGGCCGCGCTCGGCACTCTGCAGGAGTACGGAGTCGCCGGAGCCCGTGAGCGTCAGTACGAACTCCGGCTGCCCTGCGGTGCCCGTCAAAGTGCCGGTGCCGGTCGTGGTCACCGCGTCGCGCAGCTGAGTGAGGCCGCAGGTAGAGTTGAGGTCGATGATGTTGGTCTTTTCGACCGTCCGGATGTCGCCGCAGGAGTCCGTCGGAACTTGATTGGTGAAAGAAGTTATGTTGCCCGCCACGGCCAGATTCCCTACCACGGTGGCGTTTCCCGGAATGAGCGACATGGGTGTGCCCTCCTGAGTGTACCCGAGAAAAAGAAGCTCCGCTGTCTCACCACAGTTCTTCCATTCGCAGCACTGCAGTGATGGCGCCGCTGAAGCCGGTGATGCACTTTGCGCATACCGTGATGATGTCCGTCTCGTTGAGGTAAATGTCGAGCACGTCGGTCGATCCGCCGGCCTTTGCGCTGCTCACGCCGGTCGTGTATAGCACCAGACCCCCGCTGATGGCGGTCGCGGACGTGTCGACCTGCAGGCAGGTCTCCGCATCGAGAGAATCTTGTACGGTAGTCCAGGACGCTCCCGTCAGCGTAGACGTCACCCGCACCTGCAGGTATGCATCCTGATTCGCGAATGCATCGTAGGAGATCAGACGAACGCCGCAGTGCGTCCAACCGGTTTTGCGACGGAAGGAGACTATGGGCTTCCAGGTCGCCGAAGTCACGGTGACCTGGTTGTAACCGGAGGTGACGCGGTGAGTCGTGCTCTCCTCCCCGTATATTGAATACTGGCGGCCGGCGACGTAGGCATTGATGGTGCCGCTTCCGGTGTTATTCAGCAACGTACTTATGTTGAGGTTCGGAAACATCGTGGAAGTCTGACCGGACGGCGCCCAACGGTGGAGCGACTGCACGAACTGATTACCGAAAGTATCGGTGCAGACCAGCTGGAAGTTGACCGCTCCGTAACCATACCACGAGTAGACGATGTGCCAGATGTTGCCTTTGGTCATGTCCAAGATCTGGCCACTGGGGCCGGTGCCATCGAGACGGTCGCAATTGAAGGAGGAGGCTGGGATGCTGCTGACTACCCCGTTGCGCACGATGTTGGCAGACAGCCCTGAGGCAGAGATCTGAAAGTAGAAGCCGTTCTGGAAGCTACTGTCTGTGTATCCCCACTGAAAAGTCTGAGTGCCCGTCAGGGCTTGTGGCACCCGCACCCCGATCCCTACTTCGGCGGAGAAGCCGGCGATATAGCGACCACGCTCCGCACTCACCAGGCTAGCTGAGGACGATGCGGGAGCCGTCAGGACGAATTCTGGCTGCCCCAAAGTTCCAGTGACGGTGCCGTTGCCGGTCGTGTACGTGTCGTCTCGTATGACGCTGAGGCCGTAGCTAGGCTTCAGATTGAAGATATTCGTCTTATGCACGCCGACCTTCTCGCCGAATGGGGACAGCGGTGCGACCGAGCCGTAGCTGGTGTGCAAGGTGGGGCAGTACACGGATGAAGACATGGGCTGCTATCAGAGAGACGTGAAAAAAGGAGGGACCATTCAAGCGATCTCATAATCCAAGGTACCTGATGCAGTCCAGGTACCCGCCAAGAAGTTCGTGAGGGCAAATACTAGCCGAGAAGTAGTGCTGTCGGCCGTGACCAGACCTGTCGCAGTCCCTGCGGTCGGAACGGTGATACTCCCGTAGCTTGTCACGTAGATGTTCGACCCGCCGTTCTTGCTGAAGATCTGCGTGCGTTGTGCCGAATACGCAACTGAATGTCCTGGAGGCAGGGAGATGCTGGTACTGGCCACGGACGACGCGACAGTGAAACTCAGCGAGTAAGCGACCGTGACTCTCTTATTGATCGACGTGTATCTCGCGAAGAAAGTCGTTAACGTCGCGTTAGAATCAGAAGATGGGGTCCAAGAGGCCCACGTCTTGTGAGAGTTGATCGGATCGGTGTTTGAGATGGTGATGTTGGATGCAAAGGTGGCGGGGCCGGTGACCGCCAGATTGCTCGCTACCGACAGGGTGCCGCCAATCGACACGTTGTTCGAAAACGTGGCGGAGGTGGCTCCGAGGGTGTTGTAGAGAGTGACCGGTCCGCTCGCTGATAGGGTTCCAGAGGTTATTTCGGCGACGCTCATGTTGCTGGAAAAAGTAGCCGACGTGGCTCCCAGGGTACTAGAGAGGGTGACGGGCCCGCTGACATACAAGCTTCCGCCTACCGTCGCATTGCTGGAGAGAGTAAAAGTACCAGAGACGGTCAGATTGCTCGAAAAGGTAGCAGAGCTGCCTCCCAGAGCGCCCGATAGCGTCGTAACTCCAGAGACGCTGAGGTTGCTGGAAAAAGCTGCTGTTGTTCCGCCCAGAGCGCCCGATACAGTCGTAGATCCAGAGACGGTCAGGTTGCTAGAGAGAGTCGCAGAAGTGCCTCCTAGCGTGCTGGACAGAGTCACGGGGCCGGTTACTGCCAAGCTTCCTCCCACCGTAGTATTGCTGGAGAGAGTCGTAGCTCCAGAAACGCTTAGATTACCTGAGAAAGACGCCGAATTTCCCCAAAGGGCGCTGGAAAGAGTGAGTGGCCCGGTCACAGCAAGGGCTCCTCTGATGTTCGCATCGCTCGAGAGAGTAGAAGTTCCAGACACGGTCACATTACTGGAGAACGTCGCCGAAGTGGCTCTCAGAGTGTTTGAAATAGTAGTGAGACCAGCCACGGATAAACTCCCACTGAGTGCGAGGTTGGAATATGAGAACGATCCAGCGATGGTCACGTTGCTAGAAAACGTCGCAGAGGTGCCCGTCAGAGCGTTCGATAGAGCGACGGGACCCGTCACCGCTAAACTCCCTCCCACCACGGCACTGCTCGCCTGCAACGACCCCCCGACCGAAGCATCGCCCGAAACCGATAGATTACACGAGAACGTCGCGGCCCCACATGCGATCGTATCCGCATCTACGTTGGAAGCATACAGTCCAAGCCAGCGGTTGCTGCCGGTCCCCACGTTGAGATTGCCCGATGCGGGGAGGATGGATTGCGCAAAGGTAGCGATGGAAGCAGCATCTCTCCGTATCGTCGTCCAAGCCGTGCCGTCGGTGGAGCACTGCGTCACCAGACTCTTGTCGGTGTCAATGCGCGTCCGAAATGGGTAACGACCGGCCTGGTCGACATTCTGTAGAGACCTGACGCTCAACGTTCCCAATCCAGATGCACCGTCGTCCACTGAGCACGCGAGCGATGCCAGTGCACGGCGAGACCCCGCTACGTTCTGCCCGAGCGAGACCGTCCCGTCCGCCGCACGCGAGAGGAACCAGGCGTCGCCGTTGCTGCCGAAGCACTGAATCGTTCCTGCTTGCAAGGTCATCACGGGGACCGACGCGGAGAGGGACCCGTCTACGAGCACGTTCGTCACCAGTTGCACACCGTTGGAGACGATCAGAAAGTCATCCGCGTCCGGGCTATCTACGAGCAGTTTCCTCGTCTTGATGGTGGCCGTGGTCATCCTATCCTACGATTCGATCAGAAGAAAAAGAGTCAATCTTCTGAGAATTCCAACTCCTGTAAGGCGAGTGCCAGAGCCTCGTTGCTACTCGTGTTCGCATACCTGGCACTGACCGTAGCACTCTGCCGTACTCCTGCCGCACTCCTGCCCCTCATCTGTCTTTCTCGGTCCGCTCTCTCCCGCCTCTCCCTCACGAGTATCGCCTCGCGTCCAGCGAGCCTTTGTGTCACCTGCAGAGCCTCTCCATAACTGACATTCGCAGGGGGTATATTCCCGCTAGCACTCACACGTTGCCTCGGCCTGCCCCTCACGTGTGGCAAGACAACTCCAAAGTGTGTGTCCGTCCAGTTTATCAATGAAATGGTTCTGTCGTAGTTGTTCGGATCATCGTTTACGTAATGACTTCTCCGCCTCCGTAGTTGCCCATCGTCTACCGTCGAGCACAGGAGGTCCAGTTGTTCCAGCGTCAAAGGTTCTGCGAGTCTTACGGCGAGACTATATACATCGGGCCACATGCCGAACACGCGTATCCGACACCGCATAGCGCGGGCGACACATTCTATCTGGACGTGGTTCGCCCATTGCGGATACATGAAGGTAGCGCGTCGTCCGCGACGCACTCGGTTTCTGTCACCAGAGGGCAGACCAAAAATATTGACGAAGAGCGCCTCTTGGAACCTATCAAAGTATTCGAGACCGGCGTTGCGCAACTGCATAGCCCTCTCTCGCAGTTGAGGTAGAGGAAGCGGCCTGTTTGCCAACGCGACCGCGACGGCCGAGTAAAAGCAATCCCCATCACCAGGGACGTCGTGACAATCGAACAAGATAGCTGGTCTATTCTGATCCTGGTTGGGAGCTACGGGAGGTCTCGGTATAGGTCGCGGAGGGACGGGAGGTACCTGTGGTCTCGGCATAGGTCGTGGAGGGACGGGAGGTACCTGTGGTCTCGGCATAGGTCGTGGAGGGACGGGAGGTACCTGTGGTCTCGGTATATGTCGTGGAGAGACGGGAGGTACAAATGGTCTCGGTACAGGTCGTGGAGGGACGGGAGGTACCTGTGGTCTTGGTATATGTCGTGGAGAGACGGGAGGTACAAATGGTCTCGGTATCGGTCGTGGAGGGACGGGAGCTGCAGTCGGGGCGGGGATGGGACCTAAGCGAGAAGCTCGCCGCTTCGCACGCCTCATGACGGTGGCCCAGACTTCGGGGTGCAGAGCGTATGTGGGTCCGCGACCTTCGTTTCGGGCCTGGAAGATCGCGAGGATGTCGTCCCTAGAGAGACCACGTCTCAAAAGCGTTATAGCCTCTTCGGTGTTCCGTTGGATCTTTGCTTCGTCCAGCTGAAATAGCTCAGTCGGCTTTGCCTGTGGAGGAGCTGCAGTCGGGACGGGGATGGGATCTAGGCGAGAAGCTCGCCGCTTCGCACGCCGCATCAC